ATATATATATATATATATATATATATATATATATATACTGTATATAAACAGCGCCTTTTTTATCAATGAAATATTTTGATGGAATGGCTGATGTCCGATATTTAACTTTATAGCTAATATTGGCCGATACCATGCAGATATTATTGTGTATCCCTAGTTTATATCAAACAAAAATAACCTGAGTAAATGCAAAATGTGGTTTTAAAACTACAATTTTATTTATTAAAGAGGAAAAAATGATCCAAACCCATCTGGTCCAACAGTATGTGGAAATGTAATGGCTCCATTTGTTAAATCGTGCATTTTTTGGAAAGTCAAGTTCGGTTGCGCAGCTACATCCAGACCTGATCTCCAACAGATCTGTAGAATCAAGAAATCACTTAAATACAGCCGTTATCCACAAATGGCGGAAACACAAAACGGTGAACCTCCCCACAACAAGAGCGCGTCGACGATTCGTCTGGAGGTCCCGTAAGAACCCAGAATAACATAAGGTCAACAATTAAGGTCAGAGTTCACCATTCAACAATAAAGAAAGGGCCATGAGAGCGTTTCAAGACCAAAACAACTCCCCGAAAATATGTATAAACCACAAAGTCTTGTCTCACATTTACCAAAACACATCTTAATCTGAAAAACTTTTGGGAAAACATTCTGTGGATTGACAAGACAAAAAAAAAAGGAACTTTAAAAAAAAATTTTTTTACATCCGACTAACAAGGGCGGCATGGTGGCGCAGTGGGTAGAGCTGCCACCTATAGCGAGAATGTTTCCATATTGAATCCCGGCCAAGGTCCTTTCTGGGTGGAGTCTGCATGTTCTCTCCGTGCATGCGTGGGTTTTCTCCGGGTACTCCGGTTTCCTCCCACAGACCAAAAACATGCATGTTCAACTGATTAGTGACTCTAAATTGTCTCTAGGTGTGAGTGAGAGAGTGAATGGTTGTTTGTCTCCATGTGTCCCTGTGATGGACTGGAGACCAGTCCAGGGTGTTTTGCACGGTGACTGATGGACATGGGCACCAGAGACCCCCATGACCCGAAAAGAAAGAAGTGGGTAAAGATATGGCTAACAGTGCAGAGTGATCAAACACAGCGGTGGTACTGTGATGGTCTGGGCCTGCGTTACTGCTCCAGGACCTGGACACTTCACTGTGATTGATGGAACGATGAACAGACGGAGCCACAACAATCCTGAAGCACAATGACCTTAAGCTTGAGCTCACTTGGGTTTGGCAGCATTCGGTGGTTTGAAGCTCAGCAGCAACTTTCCTCCACGGTCAGACTCATGGTCAGCTGCGGCAAACGCTTCTTTTCTGTTGTCAACACCACGGTGGCACAACTAGGAGACAATTACTCCTTCATTTAAGGACTGGTTGGCTTTTACATCATATTCTTCAGACTATAAGGCGCACTTAAAATCCTTTAATTTTCTCAAAAATCGACATTGAGCCTTATGGTCCGAAAAATAAGATAGTTTATTTTCCCTTAATAAATTAAATTAAAATTTGAAAACTGCATTTTGCATCCACTCGGGTCGTCTCTGTCTGATAATAACATTTGTCTGATGATTCAAAACTAGTGCATGCGACCAAACAGCAGAAACAGAAGACATCTGTAAGAGGGCGCATCCCTTTCCACAGCTTTGTATTGCCAGATATGAACCTGTTAGTACGAGCGATACTTAAAATCGGTGCAACACTACGGTTTTGTTCCGGGGTGGGGGGGGACTTCATGGCAAGGCGGATGCAAATGGCTTCTTCGTAAAAATTATATTTGAAGCGAGCTCCTCCTCCCACTGGCAAAGATAAATAAATAAAAACTAGCCTCTGGTCATTTGTTTATTTGATTGTATACATATATATTCCTATTTTTCATAACAAATATACTATGGCTTTGAAAATAAAAAGTGCCAAAATATTATTATTTTTTGGAATAAAAGAACACACAGTGATGTTGTTGTCGGTAGTAGTACTCGTACTCGCCGGGTCGCTACAGGACATCAGCAGGAAGGAGGAACTGGGGTGTCGCCATTCCTGCTTCCTGCCGGGGAAGATACGCTCCTGACGAGGGTCACACAGGGAGGGACGGCTGTCAGGCACCTGGAGGAGGTGCAGCTCAGGGAGGCGGCGGGGAGGCAGCAGAATCCAGCTGCAGGGGAACCAACGTCTCCCTGATGGCGTGACTGCAGTCTGAACGTTCTTGTAAACTTTTCCCTGGAGCCTGAACAGGCTGAGAATAAGTGTGTGCGTGGACAGTTTCACTGCGAGAGGAGGCGGGGCTAAACTGACAGTGTGGGCGGGTTCTCTGCCCCAATGATAGTCCTTCATTCACACACGCACACAAAACAAAAGTCGCTCCTCTGTGTGCTCCCTGTCCTGGAGCGCCTACAAGCGCGATAATCCACATTTATCAGGGTGGCTTCCTGCAGGTCGTCCCTCCACAGTTTTTGAGGCATATCAGCAGCGCCCAGTTTGATTTTATCACCATCATCATCGCCGTCTTCCTTTTCATCCTGGTCTTCATCCTTTGGCTGTGAGAAGTTTACAGTTCTAGCTTTTCTCACCCTTCTTTTTAAATCGGCTCTAAGCAGGTTTTCCATCTGAATTCCAGCTGGAGATTTCAGTCAGGAAAGCAAAATGAAAAAAAAAAAAAAAAAAAAAACTTCCACGGTTAAAAAAAGGGATGGGCTTATTGGTCAAAGAGGTAAGGTGTTTTTGTGGGGCGGGGAGGCAGGGGCATTGGATGGCAGAAGAAGAGAAAGCGAGTTGTAGGAACTCAGACTGGAGGGGGGAGTTACACTTGCCATCAATTTTTAGTTTCCGTGAGCTGTTGGATCGGGAGCTGGAGCTGGAGCGGGTCTCGAAGGCGCTTCAGGTCCAACTCCACCTGGACAGAGAGGACAGGTAAAACACGTCAGGACAAACGTAAAGTCTAAAGTGGCAGAGTCACAGATCCGCTGCCAAAGCTTCACCTCAGCGATGTCATCCTTCAGCTTGTTGTACTTCTCAACGTCGAAGTGTGTCCTTTTCACCCCCTTGTGAAGGAACAGAAGGTACTGTCGGTCTCTTGCGTCGGGATAAATGTACTCCTGCAGGTCACAGGGGGACAAAGACGGAGCAGTTTGTAACAGATACCAGTTTATCAGATGTCCCGCTTTCTTGTCCTTGAGCCAAACCACACTGGAGAAACATGACTGCGTTGTCCTTGGAGCTAAAAATTATTAGTAACTCATATAAAGTGAATTGAGCTGTTAGAGACAACAACCACGTGAATCAGGTTTCAGGAAACAACACAGCGACGACTGCTTCACTGAAGGTTTTTAATTATGTCGTTGAAGCCCTGGATGCTAAGGATTATTGTGCTGCACTTTATTTACACCTGTCTAAAGCTTTTGACACTGTGGATCATGACATCTTGTGTCATAAACTCTCAGAAATTAGTTTTTCAGATCACACCATTGGTTGGTTCTCGAACTATCTCTCAGACCGGAGGCAATGTGTTCAACATAATGACACTTCCTCCAGTTATTTAACAATCAACAATGGCGTACCGCAAGGCTCAGTCTTAGGATCTACACTCTTTACAATCTACATAGGTAATGTAGGTCAAAGCATCCCTGATGCATCCTTACATTTCTGTGCTGATGACAGTTGTTTATTGTCGAGCTAAAACTGTTGCTAAGGTTTTTCAGCTTTTGCAATCTGCTTTCGACATCATCCAGTCAGATTTGTTCCGTCTCAAACTTGTCCTAAACGGAAACCAAAAGGATGTTGCTTTCAAACAGGAAGTCGATCCCAGCAGTTCTTCCTCTGATTTTATCCTAAAATGGCGTCCCTATTGAGTTTGCCAATTCCTATAAATATTTGGATATCTTGGTCGATCTGCATCTCTCTTTTAAGCTCCACGTGGAAAACTTGGTAAAGAAACTGAAAGTTAAACTGGGTTCCTTTTTCAGAAACAAATCCTGTCTAACCCTGAATGCTAGAAAACGCCTTGTATCTGTGACTTTCCTTCCCTCAATTGATTACGGTGACATTATTTACATGAACGCTCCTACAAGAACCCTGCAGATGTTGGACGCTGTCTATCACGGTGCACTAAGATTCATAACTGGCTGTGATTATCGTACCCACCACTGCACCCAGTATTCACTGGTTAACTGGACATCATTAACTTCACGCAGACTCTCTCACTGGTACATTTTCATCTTTAAATCACTTCTTGGTCTGTTGCCTTCACACATCTCCTCCTACATGTCTCTGCGTGAGTGCAGCTACAGCGTGCGCTCTCAGGACATTATTACCTGCAGTGTTCCCTCAGTGAGGACTGAACTAGGTAAAAGGGCCTTCTCCTACTCCGCTCCTGTTTCCTGGAAAATCTTACAAAAAGCTCTGAAGTTCTCGACCTTGACCTCTCTAAGTGGCTTCAAACATCTGTTAAGTTTTTAGTTTTCTACACCGCCTTATAGTCTACCTGTTTTTTGTTACATTTTTTTAATGCCATTTTATTTTCACTTGTTATTCTCAATTTGTGCGCATCCTTTATGATTGTCTACTGTTGTCATCACTCTTTGTTAAAATCAGGTCTCTCTTGTAAATGAGTCCCCGAGGCTCAATGGGATTAACCTGTATAAATAAAGGTTGAAAACTTTGTTTTTTTAATAAACCTAAAAATATAGTTTGATTGTTGGTTGTTAAAGCTCCTGTCACACTGGTACCCATTTTGTTATATGAGCTGGTGCGAACAGAAATGCCTATTTAATAGAACCGAATGCAAAAGAAATACAACACATTTTGTGAAATGTCAAGTCCTGTGACGATGTTGTCGACATGTTTTCATTGCATATGCATCGGGTTGGAAAGTGAAAAAGTCACAGCGTAAAACCACATTAGTGTCACAATACGGCATAGAAATGCAAGGCGGATTTGCAAAAGTGTGATAATGGTATAAAGGTTATGGTAAATGGGTTAAATGGCAAAATTAAATTTAGGATCAGAATGTTCTGGATTGATATAACCAATTCTTCCTCATTTTGTACGCCTAAAGAGGACTATATTTGCTTCGTAATACACAGCTGAAAGCTTTAAACCTCACATTTGGGACGCTTTAATCCAAGTTTGGCCTTTAGCTCGGTTGTTTTATCTAACGCAGCTTTTCTTCATACGTTCACTGAGCCACACGTGCTGCACGTACACAGTCCTGAGTCTTACCTGACGTGTGAGAACGAAGTAGGCATACATGGCCATGGCTGTGCCATAAGTGATGAAGTAAGTGACCGGCTCCATGATATCCCAGGAGTATTCCCACCAGGTCAGCCTGGCCAGGATACCAAACTGGGTGGCCATGTACGCCATGCCTCCCCACAGCACCCAGGTGGTGCGCCGCTCCGCCTTCCTGCTCAGCTCCTCCTTCACCTGCAAAGGTTACGAGTTCAAAAAACTTGCAGCAATTTGTAGAATTACATTAAAAAAATGAATAATGGACCTTCTCTAGAGGGCGGAGTTGAGAGTTGAGATCTTCCAGCCGTCCAATCAGCTCTCTCTCTTTGCCGAGTTGGTGCTCCTCGATGTGCAGCGTGGTGTACAGCTGCTGCACTAGAAATTTGACGTCATTTAACCTTTCGGCCTCCTCGTGGGGCAGGATCTCTGTGCACACAGATAAACACGTCTGAATACTGACGGTGACAAAAGAGGGAGTTTCTTGATTCAAAGAGACTGAACTTAGTTCTAGACCGGTCACGATAACTAATTTTGCTGGGCGATTAATTGTCTCAGAAATTATTACGATAAACGATAATATTGTTTGAAATTTGACAATAATTGGTAATTGTCAAATTTAAGAAGAAATGTTGGTTAATTTTTGTGTGTAGTACCTTTTTTGACCAATGGATGGCAGTATAATCTGTTTAGAACTGAATTGTTTGTATTTTTTATGTTTTAGTATTTTTTATATTTTTTTGTTATTTTTTATATCTTGTGTGATTCCTTGTGTATGTTCCTTTTTACTGAAACTCAGGCACAACAATTTCCTGCGGGATCAATAAAGTTATATCTTTTCTTATCTTATCCGACTGTTTGAACTGAAGGATGGATAGTGAGGGAGTGAGCAGCGTGTCGCTTTAAGAAAAATGGAAGGGAGGCCCCTTGACGTGACATGGGCTGTCTCTCATTCCTGGTTCTCAAAATGGCAGACGCTGAGTATGGTTTGAGCTCTTTAGCAAAGTATTTTTCACACAAAGTTTTTAATAAAAAAAATTTTGACAAGTTCTCGGCTTCTTTTTGCAGAGAAAAAACATTTAGACGAAGGTACGGGTTTCAACAGTGAATTTTGGAGCTTGGACAAGACTGAAGTTTTTACCCAAGGTCGGCCTGTTAGCTTAGCTCGTAGTTTAGCTTCTCAGCTTACCTGCTTTTAACGATCCAAAAACACAATTTTTTCATTCATTCAACCTTTATTTTGGACGGTTAAAACAGGTTTTAAAGAGAAAGGGAGGAGTCAGTGAAAAGCACCGGAGTTGAGCCTTTTGTCATCCAGTGTCTTCAGTAGAAAGAGAGAGACACGAAGAAACAATAAAGCCGATAAATGGAAATCAGGTTGATAATTTTCATTTATCATGCGATTAATCAATTTATTGTTTATCGCGACAGGCCTACTTAGTTCCTCCCTTTGCCGGGACTCACCTCTCCTCGGGGGCTGCACGAGGTGTGTGGTGTCGTTGATGACGAGCTTGAAATCATCCAGCAGCAGGATGTCGATGCCCGTGGAGGAGGCGATCCTTGCTCCGTCTGCAGTGAGAAACAAACGAGAAGGAAGGCAGGAGGTGAAACGTTTCCACTTTGAATTCTCTTCACCTCTCGTGGTAATATTTACTCCCCAGCAGAGGAAAACGATCTGTATAAATGCGGCGTGTGATGCGGCGTGTGATGCTGTGTTTGCATGCGTACCCATGGAGTAGATGGCTACCCGGTCGATGCCTCTGTCCTCCGCCTGGAGCTGCTGCAGGAAAACTCCCACGCAGTCGCTGAGAGGCTTGAGGGTGAACTGACAGCGCTCTCGCCTGGACGGCAAGCTGACGGAGAACACAGGGAGCCCGTTCTGATACACCACCGTCACCCCTGAGAGGGTCACCAGGACGAGAAGGGGGGTGGGAGGGATGAGCGAAATGTTCCACATGTCTGAACAGTTTCTACCTAAAACTTTCAAAACTATCAGTTTTCAGGAAAAACCTGGGAACTAAAGCGTCAGAGCAGAAGTGCACTGCAGGCTGCTGTTTTCAATAAATTCTCTTCAGACGTATCATCAGAATTAATTGCGTTCATTTAGCGCCGATCCTTCCCGGAAGAGCTGCAGCTGATTGTTTGATGCCAGCTATTGATGTTTGTCATTTCCACACGCCGAACAAACAGCCCTCTAAACGAGACTGACAATCAAAGTGACATTCTGGGAACCATCACAATTTATTAATTCCATAAAAGATTATCGTAGCAATAAAAGCAAAAAAGAAGGAAATTAATCAGCGCTCGGAGGACTAACAGAAACTGCTCTGAACGCCATTTTGGAGTTCATTATTTAGATTTTGTGTGCTTTGCTGCATTTTAGCATCGCCAAAGGAAATTGATATTTTTGTCTCCAACCGTCCCCCAGAGGCTCTTTCTTGCATGCTAAAAAGGTCTGTAATGCAGCTCTACTCTTCCAAAACCAAACAATACTCATAAAGAGCCCGCTCAGGTTATAGTAGTATCATGGTGAATGGGCTCCAGTGACAGAGTCATGAATCAGAGCCCTTTGAGGAAATGGTCTCGTTGCTCCTGCGTCTAAAACCTCCAAGGCTCTGCAGTGAATCAGCAGATCTTCGAACTCGCACAGAGAGCTGCAGGAGCATCAGCTGGCAGCTTCTTTTCGTGGGATTCTGTGTGTAGACGCAAAAAAATATATTCTATTTCACATACATTACTTCCTTTATAATGATGACACCTTGAAAAATCTGGTCAAAGTAGATGAGTTGCTCTTCTCTTGCACCCATTCTGCCTTCTCCTCTATTATCCTGCCATCACAGACACGCTGAGGATCATCAGCCTGTCTCTGTTACGGTCCAACAGCTATTAGAGCGCACTTCCAAATCAAATCATCCTCGTCTGAAATGCTGCTGCCTCTGTCTCTCAGCTAGCCAGCCTTTCTCTTTCTTTGCGTCATTCACACTCCCCGCCACAGACAAAAAGATGCCAGGGACAAATTCCATATTAATGGCCACCGAGCTGCGAGCTCCAAACGAGCCTGAGCCGTCAGGTAAACCTGTAGCAAATGTCATTTTTCCTCAGACGGGAAACAAAAGCAGGTGCAGAGACGAGAAGTTTCTATTCTAAATGGAAATCCCTCACACAGGTCACATGGTTAAAAAGAACCTGCTACAGGAGCAGTGCCCAGGATTGATTTCTATGAGGTAAGGAGTGTTAGAGGAGGGGTCGGCTTTACCTTCAGGAGCAGATGAGGAACACAACAGTCTCTGGCCATGCCACGAGGAAGCGCCGCTCCAAACCTGCAGACAGGAAGAGAAAACAAACTGTTTCTTCTGCTTCATCTCCACCCTGCTCCAACCCGACATGCTGTTCCAAGTGCTGCAGGCCAATGAGCGACACTTCACAACTAAGTATCATTGAACAAAACCATTTGTGCTCTGTAGCAATGTTTCCATCAGGAGTAATGTCCCACTCAGGAAGGAAGGAGTAATCACGTTATGTTATAGAGTCACAGCCTGCTAGCTTGCCCGCCTGTCCATCCATCTATCCATTCATCATTTAAGGTCATGTTGCAGAGGCAGCAGACAAAGACAGAAGCCTAGACCAAACTCTCCACAGCATCAGTCTTCACCTCCTCCTGGGGGGTACCATAATGTTCCCAGGCCATGTTTCTCCATTAGGTTTTGAGTCTCCTCTTAGAAGGATGTGCTTTCAATGGGAGGCAACCAGGAACCACTGAACCACCTCGGCTGACTCTTTGATGCAGAGGAGCGGCAGCACTTCTCCAAAGTCCTCATCAAATCTCTAAAGAGGGTTGACACTACAGTTTTCGGCCACCTAAGACGAAATCTTTCCAAGTGAAAAACAAAAGTTGCGAGAAAAACTGAGCTTGAATTGTTGGTTTGTGGTAAATCAGTGTGACAGATTCACCTACAGTAGATTCAGTACGCTATAGTGACCTACAACAATGACCGGGTTGAGACGTTTCATCCTTCATCCAAAGGACTTCATCAGTCCGAGGAGCCACAATAAGCTCCCCAGAAACCATCATGTCATCAGCAAACTGGTTGGCCCACTATGTGAGTGTGCTGTTTGTGGGACTGAATTTGTTGTGGCTCCTCTGACTGATGAAATCCTTTGGATGAAGGACAAAATGTCTCAACATAAAAAGAAACCATCCAGGTGACCTGACTGAACTTTGT